ACCACATGTCTTATTCCTACAAACTATCTCCCAGCTAACTCTATGATCCCTCTTTTCCTCTCCCGGTTCCCACAGGAAATCTCTCATTAACTTCTCCAATCTATTAGCAACCTTCATTGGGATTTTAAACACCGACAGGAAAAAGATAGGTAAATTAGATTTACACTGTTCATTCAAAAAACATGTTAAATTGAAGCCAGGGAATCTTCCTTGATGCATGTTTAGATCAGGATGAGGAACAACTATGCCATGATATTTGTTTGAGCTCTTTTAGGAGCCTAATGAGTGAACCCATGAATGGCATATGTTATTTATCATTTCAATAACATCTTTTATCTTGGTCACAATTTTTTTGTATAATGTGTATGCTGAGATGGATGAGTGGAAAAATTAGAAAGGATAAGGTCAAAAACCAAGTCATTCAAAAGACCTAGGAGTAGCACCAAATCACCAATAGGTGATAAAATGAAAGAAAGGAGACCAAGATGGCTTAGTCATATGTATAGAAGACAACCAACAGTACCCATAAGAAAGAAGTGATCTGCTGCAAGTTGAAGGGGCTAGAAGGGCTAGGGGTAGACCAAAAAGGAAATGGATCAAAGTAGTTAGAAATGATTCAAGTGCCCATAATTTAATAATGGATATGGCATTAAACAGAATGGAATGGCGAAACTGGATTCATGTTGCATTGTTGCTGACCCCATATAGTTGGGGTAAGGCTTGGATGATGATGATGCTGACCCATTGATAAATCAACAGAATTTAGGATCTAATGTGTCTCAGTAGAAATTTGGATATCTTTTCTAAAAGTCCATGGACAAAATCAGTAATATTTCAAATTCCAAATGAGCTATATTGCAAACTTGTTATGCTTCCTCTAAAATATGAAAAATTGTCTAAATTTCTACAGGTTTAAAAACAGTGTCCTCCAATGTGTGGGATTGTGATGATATTCTTTTTTTGGTAATAAAAAATTATTAGAAGAAAAGATTAGGATTACACTCAAGGTGAAGAGGCAAAGCAACTTATATCAGAAACGAAACAACAAAGAACAATTAATTTTCAACATTTACAATATTTAAAGTTGACTTAAATCAGCTACAAAAGATAATCTCTCCAAATCTTCAAATTCAGTGTGAGCTTAATATTATTCTTGTATCATAGAGAAAATGCTACCAACAATTTTTCCATAGTTAGAGTTGTTCATTGGGTGAAGGCTTTGAAACTATTCTCTGATTTTTCAGTGAAAGGCTTCTTTAGGAATAAGGGATCAATCGCCCTTTCTTCTTCTAGGAATCAAAAGGTTTTGGACGGTTTTGGAGGTTCATTCTCCCCCAAGTGAAGGTTGGATGAAACTTAACTGTGATGGAAGTAGTTTTGGTAATCTGAGTCCCTCTGGAATTGGAGGAGTGATTAGGGACGGGAGTGGGAACATTTGTGGCTTGTTTTCGGGGCCTATTGAGCAGGGTGATTCAGTGAAAGCTGAGTTCATGGTGGCTATTTTTGGGGTGCAAAAAGCCAAGGAAATGGGGATTACAATATTTACAGTAGAAGGGGACTCAAAAGTAGTTATTGGCTGGATGAAAAAAGGAGAAGGGTATTATGGCACTTCAGAAATGAATTCAGGTGGTTCAAGATGCTGTCAAGACATATGCAAATTCAGTGGAGGTCTGCTAATGGTTTGGTGGAGGGGTTCTTTGCTGTAATGGGTGTTATTTCTAACAACTTCTTGTACAATTCTCATTTTAAGATCTAATAAAATTCTTTGAGTTGCTGATAAAAAAACACACACACAAAATTTCCATTGTTATATTTCTTCCTCTCAAATATTCTCATGTTCCTTTCCCTCCAAATTATCCAACAGATTGCAAAAGTTTGCCATGTTATCATTACTGTTGGTTAATAAAGTATGCTAACATAGATGAAGTAAACATTACTTAAATGTCAACTCCATCTATTTCTTCTGGTAATAATAACTTTTTTAGAGATTTTTAGGTTACTTTCATGTGTCATACTTGGAGGCACATGCAATGCATGAATGATGAATGTTATAATTTCCACTGTACCACCTGATGCATGCTTTCATGATGTCGTTTTATTTGCCCCGTTTTTTCTATATCATTTTCAGTAATTGTATGCCTATGTTGGCATGAAAAAGAAATTAATCTCTTTTAGCAATACAAAGCGATAGAACTATATCTTCAAGATGTCAGATAATCAGATGGTTATGGCATTTAGTCAACACTTACTAGGGCCCGTTTAGTGTGTCTTTCTGTGCGGTCTTTCGGCTGTATACAAGCCGGGCAGACTGTGCCGCGGTCTTTTTCTGTTTAGTTCATAACAGATCTAGCCGCCAAAAGTTGGTGCGCCAAAAAGATGCGAGAAGCCCATTTTGGGCTGATTTCAGGAAGCTCCAAATTGAGCTTTTCACGTCTTTCTCACTTTATTCTCGCGCGGAAAGACATGGAAAGATGCACAGAAAGACATGCGGTAGCCAAGCTAGCTTCAGGCTGCTCAGATCTTCATGCAAAAGCTCAGTGTGCCTTTTGACTGTCAGAGCTACCAGAAGATCTTCCCAAAAGGCTTGCCAAATGGCCCCGAGATGAACTATAACAGAGCTTTGTCTTTAGATGGCTCACCTAGTCATGGAGGGCAATCAGAAATCTTGTTGCCTGGCCAAAAGAGGGGCTATTTTATTTAGATGGCTCCCACATGAATTTAATTTGTCTTTAACTTGTTGTTCTGATGAGAACACCTTACTTCAACTAATATAAATACCACCCACCAACGACATTAAGCACTCTCTCCTTCAATAAAAGAGAGAACCCCTAAAATATAAGGGGGTCATTTCCCAATGTGGGTCCTGGTTATCCAGGGTCTTGGGAGGGTTGAGCTGAATATGGACCTTATCCTTGGCGCTTTCTGTGCCAAGTGGCCACTTTAGAGAACATTACTCCAAGTAGCATATGAAATGCATTTTCTGTAGGTATGAACCTGAAGGTTGAGCATCAATGTTTTCCTTGGGCTTTGCTTTAAGGCAAGCCTAAAAGGAGGGCATGGGGTTTCAATTCTTATAAGTTTGATGGTTAAACATTTCTTCCATTACATGACCTCTTTACATTGTTTGGTGTAGGATGGAATGCCTGCATTGCATTAGTCTGTGGAAATTGTGTTGTCTGGTAAGTTTACAACACCTTATATGCTCTGCTTCTCAAATTTCTGTGCCTGGATTTCACCCTAGAAATGGGGTGTACAGGGTTGTCTTATTTAGTATACAAGTATGGAAAACATGAATCTTTTTTTATGTTAACTGAATAATAAATGTATCTGAATCAATTTTCATCCTTATGTTAGATGAACTCTTTTAGTAAAGTGTTTGTGGTATGTAAATGGTTTTTTTTTTTTAGAATTAGATTTAGATAGAAGATTTAAAGAAAGAAAAGAGCAAAAAAAAATCATCAATCACTCATCAGCCACCTATAATCATTCCAATATCATTCATCACATATTTGCAATAATAAAAATGCATAGGTTGTCTAAGATCAGCCAAACTCCTTCCTAAAGTAAGAAAAAGGATTCTACCACTCATACCCCAACAAAAATAAAACTAAAGGACTCCTTAGCTACTTAACTAATTAGTCTAAAATTGTAAAAACAACTAAGCTACAGCTAGACAAATTAAACCAGTAGGTTGGACCCCCCCTACATGTAAAATGACCAAAATACCTGCATTGCTTGAAAACACAAAAATAAATCCAAAAGAATTCAATTTTGATCCTCTGGTTCCTGCATCATCCAAACTGTCAGTTCATTGGGATTGGTTGTATGTTTATTCCCCAACTTCATGTCAGCTGTATGCATCTCATGTATTTTAGCTTTCATCAAGTGGCATAGGCCATTGAAATACTTATGTTTATGATCCATGAAAGCCCAAACAAATGTGGCTTAGTTTGTCCATGTTTGCTTTTGGACTCAAAACTTACCTGTGAATCAAAGTTTGGAGGTGGAGCTTGTCTGGGCCCTGAATTATAGTTCCATTATATCTGTTCAACCTAAAAGCATCCCTTCTTTACAATGGAACTCACTGTGCTATCTTTCATAGGAAGGGTGCCCCAACGACTCCTTTAATCACTATTGCAATGACAGAGATTGTGGCTACTGTCCTAGAGAAGAACAACCTACCAGGTGCCATTTTTACTTCCTTTTGTGGGGGTGCTGAAATAGGTGAAGCAATAGCAAAAGATTCACGTATACCACTGGTTTCGTTCACTGGAAGTACCAAGGTATTTATCTTTGTCTTAATCTTTTTGAAATGGTTCTCATTGCACTAAATTACTAACTACTGAGCTGATGGTTTACTTAATATCAAAATCAACCCTCCCCCTGAAAGTTTAGAATAACAATTAATGTTTCCGGTGCTCATTATCGCTGAGCTTTACTTGAAACAAATCTTCAATGATCCTTCTGTGGTGTTTCTTTAGTAGCAGTAACTATGGTTTTTTCATGAAAGAATAGTTCTGTTTTTAATGCATATGTAAACCATGTTTTGTACCATTATAAATATGGATTAAGACAAAAGCACCATGTATTTTATCCTTTACCCTTGGTAGCTGCAGCTAGCAATTGATACTGTTTCCCTGCCTAACATGGAATTCTGATTGTTCATATCAAGAAAGACAATATTTTTTCTTTGTTCCAAATTATCTGAACTGAACAGTGTCTGACATCTTAGTCACGTACTGTATTTTTTTTTATAAAATTCACCTTCTTTCCTTTTGACATATATGTAGGACTTCTTTTATATACTTCTTGCTTATTATTATTAAGTTTTTGATCAAATATACATTTATTTTCTTTTATATATTATGTTTTCAATTTTGCTCTTATTTCTATTGACTTTCAATCATATAACAAGGGTTTCCATTAGTACATCTCACATGTTTACAACCACAGGTGGGTCTTAAGGTTCAACAAACAGTCAATGAGAGGTTTGGGAAATGCTTGCTTGAGTTAAGTGGGAATAATGCCATAATTGTCATGGATGATGCTGACATCCAGCTAGCTGTGCGTTCTGTTTTGTTTGCTTCTGTTGGTACAGCTGGTCAACGCTGCACAACTTGTCGTAGACTGGTAAAATACTTTGTGTGTATGCATGCATTTATAAAGTTTCAATGTGGCCAAAGAATCAAAGTTTCCTCCTTTTTCTTTTGGTTACAGCTTCTTCATGAAAGTATATATCAAAATGTATTGGATCAACTAATTGGAGTCTACAAACAAGTTAAAATTGGGGACCCTTTGGAGAAAGGTACCCTCCTAGGGCCACTGCATACTCGTGCTTCAAGAGAGAACTTTGAAAAGGGCATTGAAATAATAAAGTCTCAGGCATGTATTACCTCTCTTACAATCCAATTCAATTGATATCAGTGATTAAATTTTCATTTTATTTTTGTTCTTGTTAATCTCTTTCATATTGTTTACAATATTTACATGCATTGGGTACTGGCCTTTTATTTGCATGCATGCTCACACATTATCTGGTTTTCCCCCTTTTGAAATTATAGCAACTGTATCCATACGTCCATTTAATTTGCTTAATTAACTACTGGATAATTCTTGAAATGCCATTTTTTTCCTTAAGTCCTTTGGAAGAATTTCATCCCTGCCTTATTCCGATTATATGGGGTTGGCTACACGAATCCTGTTTCGTCAATCCGTTCTATTTAAAGCCATATCCACTATTAAATTTTTAGTGCTTAAATCATTTCTTACTACTTCTACCCATGTCCTTTTTGGTCTACCCTGAGCTTTTTTGGCCCCTTCAACCTTTGGAAGAATTTCCCGAACTGAAAAGGGAAAATCTACTAGCTGATCCCAGAATTAGAAAGGTCTTCAAATTTTAACAGAATCTAAAGCTGAGACTGTTAATCTTGTTTCACGTTTGAATGTTTTTGGGAGTTATTTGTTTTCTCAGCCCTTGAAAACCACATTGATCTTGACAAATTTCAAACTAAGGACTTACTGTCAAATAATTCAACAAGTACTCTTTCTTCCTAGCAAAAAAAAAAGAAGAAATGTAAGAGAAAATTATTTAACGTGTAAAACAAAAAGGGATGGGAGGGCTAACAGAAAGGATCCCACAACAAATAAATACACTAATAAATAAATAAAATAGCTTATATTTCTTGATTTAATCCTTTGAAAGCGTCAAGGTTCAATTGATTGTTGTTGTGTGGTTACCACTCAAAAACTTCTTCACATTCCATAGATGCTGTTTAGCATTACTTAAAGGTTAAGCTGAAATACGAAGTGAAATTGGTAGTCTTGAAACCATCTGGGGGGGGGTCTTTATATAGCAGCTGAAGTGGCTAAACTGACTTATTGTTTTGTCTTTCAGTGAATAAGTTACTAAGGAGGTTGGATTCTCTTTAATAGCTTAATCTGAAGTTGGGTTAATTACTATACCCTCAAATGTTTTACTTTTTAATTATTTTATCAAATAAAAGACAAAGCAATAAGTCATTCTTTTCCATCACTTCATCTGTTATCAAACAGCCCTTGTGCACAACATTTTTTTTTAGACTTACTTAGCCTTGATTCCATTCTCATTGGTTAAATTTATACAGGGGGGAAAGATCCTCACTGGAGGATCTGTTATAGAATCTGAGGGAAACTTTGTGCAGCCTACTATAGTTGAAATTTCTCCAAGTGCAGCTGTAGTTAAAGAAGAATTGTTTGCTCCAGTTCTTTATGTGATGAAATTTCAGGTACTGTATTTATAAAGTTGTTTTTTGTCTCGATATTTTCAGTTTGTTTTTCAATTGGTTTGGATCAGTCTTCTCCATCTCTTTTATTTATATTGAATAAAAATGAAATCCTTTTGCAGACACTAAAAGAAGCAATTGAAATAAACAATTCTGTACCACAAGGATTAAGTAGTTCTATCTTCACACGTAGACCGGAAATTATCTTCAAATGGATTGGGTAAGTACTGATAGTAACAAGCTTCCTTTGCTAATGTCTGGTGTCAGTAATTATTTTGTTGTAATGCATGCATGACCTTTTGGACTGATATCTGTGTTAGATGGTGGTTTTACCAAATGTAATGCCTCTTGCCGGTCTTTCCCACTGATTATAATAAGTTTTCCTTTGCTTCTCTTCAGATTACTATTTCTGATCTGATGGCAAGGTGAAAATTTGATTGATTATCTTGAACTCATGATATTAAATGAAACCTTTTCTGGTGGTTTCTAGTTATGTTATCATTGCAAGGGGTGTATGACGTACCAGATTAATACTCAGATCCATGATAACAAATGACTTACTGTTATACATTGATCATTGTTCTATATCTCTTCTGGTATATCATTGCATTTTTCTCCTGTATATGAAGTGCATATTACTATTTTGAATGGTGAGTAGAAGATTCAGGTAGGCGTCCTTAACATTACTGCATAAACTTAAGGTTGTAGAATTAGTGCAGTGCAGCAGCCAGTTACCCTTAAACGCAGGATCTCTTGGAGCAAAATTTGGAACTAATGAACATTCTTTGTCATAATTTGGGGGATGGGATTGCCTTTTTGCCTCACCACATGCATCCTATATTTTTGTTAGCAGTGGTAATGAAAGCAATGGAAAGGAAATAACCAATATCGGGGAAAGGAATAGCTCATTTATCTCATTTTAAGGGAAATAGCTTGAGATGCAGGGACCAGGGATTGTTCTTGCTACAAAGCTGACAGTTGGTGTTCTAGAAGAGCATGAGCCACTTGTTTAAGTTTCTCTGCCAAGCATAAATGCATTTCTTTCAGTGATCATGTGTGAATAGAAAATATACATGTAACATCCATCATTAAACCCTTTGCCTAGCTGCAAAAATTACTTACATTTCTAATTTCCTCGGATACTTTTAAGATCATCTTCATTTAACTTGTCCCATCTGAGGTCAACAGTAGAAGCCATGGTTCTCCATTCTATTCTATATTCTGTATAGAATGAGCTACCAAATCCTGTTTTTTCGTTCCCTTGAATTAAAAATCCATTCAGGCTATCCATAAATAGATAAATGTAAACATTGCAAACGTTTTCTACCAAAGAAAAAACATTAAAAACTTTGAATCATGTTTTCGAGCATTCTAGGGAATGAAAAAAAGGATTTGATAGCTCATTCTATAAAGAATATAGAATAAGAATGGAGAACCGTCATACCTTAAAAGTTGATGCGAGTAGAATATATAACCTCTAATTAACAGGTTAAAATCTTGTGGCACTGAATTACTAAATATCCTTTTTTTCGTATGAATTGCTGTAAGCAGGTCATTCCTCAGCTTCTCTCATTTTTTCAGGGTTTCAAAATTATAGATTATATTTTAAACAAATTTGTGGAACCCACTGTAGCCTTTTTTTTGGTCTCATGTGCTAGATTAAGTTCAATTTCTAGTAGTTGGGGTGTTCTCACATTTGAGTGTCATGCAGGCCACATGGCAGTGACTGTGGTATTGTGAATGTAAACATACCCACAAACGGTGCTGAGATTGGTGGTGCTTTTGGTGGTGAAAAGGCCACTGGAGGTGGTCGTGAAGCCGGAAGTGACTCTTGGAAGCAGTACATGCGGCGTTCTACATGGTAAAACTGATTAAAGTTTGTTTTTTTTTTTTTTTTTGAGTCCTATTCCTATTAGTTTAGACTTTAGAATGCAAGTTAGATTTGGCACTGACCAATTAATGACTCTTGACAGTACCATCAATTACGGGAGTGAACTCCCACTGGCACAAGGAATCAACTTCGGCTAAAAGGTCCCAACACTGGTAAATTGTGCATTGTCATCTTATTATTTTGATACCCTCTGCAAGCTTTACCATCTCTTTACATGAAACTTACTGCAGGTGTTCCACCTGCAGGAATAATCAATACTCTCACCCTGAAATTTCAAATTAAGATTTTGCCACTATTGGCAATTTTAAAGTGTCAAATGGCAGGGCTGGCCAGACAATATGAACGAGACTGGGTTGGCTATTATTCCAGATTTCTTGATGAAACAAAGGGAATGGAAAGGAAAATAAATAAAGGAACATTTATTATTTATTCCTGTGTTATTTTTTTGGTGGCTCTGATGATTTCATTCCTTGCTAAATGCCCTTCTCACAGTTGATGGGTTCAAGCTTGGAAGTTGGACTACAAAACTGAAAGAGTATTTTGTAGCCTGAACTTACTGCCTTCCGTGTTTTGGGGGCACCAAGGAGGTCTTGAGCTATTGATATCATATTTGATTATTGGATGCCAGCAGTGTTTTTTTGCCTGGTGATGATACATCTTACTGGATCTAGTTGTTTGCCCATTCATCAAGTTGGTGGTCAGAGACTCAGACTTGGAATATGGTATCTAGTCAGTGGTTCGGTTTCGACCACGATGTCGACCAGTGCTGCCCAAAACTAGGGTCCAGGTGTGTTTTTAAGTATAGTAGTAATACATTAGGATTCAGGACAGCACTGCAGCAATGATTCTAGATGAAGTGAGAAAACAAAGAAAATCAGTGCGATTGGGAAATATGATCACAGTCTCTGTTTTTGTGTGACAACTATTTATCGGTTACCACCCAACTTTAGAAATGTGGGCAGGAGACCGGGTTCAATAGGCACACCATTGTGAGCATATTCTGCCAACTCTAATCACACGATAAATATTTTGACACTTGCCTTCAAATTACTTGGTGTATTCTTCTTGTGTGCCTACCTGATCCGAGACTGGATTAGCCTACGAACCTACATCTTCATAATCCTTGTTAGGGTCTAGATGGCAATGGGATATCCAGCAAGCAAAAACGCTATACACACTCTAAAAGTATCGACATCCACCTGCACATTCAACATCTCCTTAAACACGTGTATGGGAGATATTCCAATGTGTGGTTGGATGCCATGTGTGCATAGTTTTTTTTGCTTATAAGAGATCCGGGTTTGTCTAGATGTGGGCACCGGACAATTCCATTATCACGTTTTTATAGGGTAAATTATAAACTATCACCCTGTATTTGTGGATGAGGACACATACTCACATAGCCCCTATGGGAGATATTCCAATGTGTGCAGAGTTTTTTGCTTATAAGAGATTCGGGTTTGGTTGGGGATGAGGACACATAGCCCCTTGAACTTTATTTTCTAGATTTCAGCACTTTGCTAAAGCAAAATATCTTTTGAATTGGGTTATTGTGCTTACAAACTCTTGCCAAAGAAGAAACAAAGTCCATCTTAGGGTTTGGAAGAACAGTACTCCAGTTCAGTTCAAGAGAGAGATTGTGCTTTAGCATGCCCATTTTTATTATTCTTCCTTTCTACTTAGAGGGGTGTAAGCAAGTCAAGTCAAGACACTCGTGAGCCATTTTAGCTTGACTCATTACATACTCACATTTGAATATTTCATTCACAAATTATTGAGTTCAAGCCGAGCTTGAGAAGTTGAGTTGAGATTCGAGTTTGTAATACTCAGTTTGAGCAGCTTGCATGCCTACTCGAGTATTTAATAAAATACTAATTTTTAATATATTTTTATTTATAATACTTTCAATATATTATGTTGTTTAATATTTTATGATTAGTTTTACCTAGAGCTGCACCTTGTTCACACTAAAGTTTTTGAGATCAAATCAGCCCCCCCATTAGGAATATCTCCTGATGATGATGTCATCATTGTGGGACGTTGTGGGGGGCTGATTTGAACTCCAAAGTTTCTCCATCTCCAACCAAATCAACTTAATACTAGAGTATGTCAAGTCAAATATCCTCATCAAGTAGGAAAAACCAAAATTCAATTGAGTTAAAGTCGAGTTTTGATTAATGAGTTTCTGAGCTGAGTCTAACGTGAGCAATGAATATAACATTACTTCTTTTATCATTTTAAACCATTGAAATAGCCTACTTCGAATGTAATGCACCAGTGACCCTAATAATTAATACGATACGCATTGATATATTGTGATATTTTAAACCTTCCTTCACTATTAATGAAGTATTACTAGGGGTGCTCACGGTTCGGTTAATCAAATCATGATCCTATTTTTCAAATCAAACTAGTACCATCGATTTTTGTAAAATCATGAATTGAAACCAATTTATAAAATTATAATAAAAATACTAAAAATATATAACATGTATAAAAATACAATATATAGTGGACGGTTTGGTTTCATCGATTCAGTTCAGTTTTTCGGTTTTTCAATTTTTGATGAACATCCCTATGAAATAGGGGTCAAAGTGCTGAAATCCAAAAGTTTAGGAGAGTCTTTGTCACAAAACAAAGTTCAGAGGCTAAGGATCTGTAATTTATCCCTTTTTTGTCTTTGGTATTGTTGGAGTACTCTTCTTCATCATATTTAATATAAACCATAATAAACACAAATGGCTTGAGATGAGAGGAAGGAGAAAGTGGCTGCTAAGCTTAAGAATTGTTTTAACTTGTTATAGCAGTTTGCACGCCGGCAAGGAGATTTGTTGTGGCTGGTTTAGTATTTCCTTGCCCAGACTAACTGCCTTAAGACAAGCTATTATATATAACGACGACTAGTTCAAGAAAAAGATAATGACAACTAAGTTCAATTGACAACGTTTTCGTATATGATATTATCTATTTAATTGGCAATTCAGCCTAACTAGTAACCACTCTGGAATTGTAAGGCCAAATGTTTCGCTATTGCACCATTATCTTTGGGTATGGAATCAGGACCCAGTCATCTTTAGCATAATGAGAGGTAAGGGAGGATTGTAGACTCTAGTTTTATTGTTTATAGAATATAGAATTATAGATAGCCTGTGAGAATCAATATGATTGGAGAATTTCAAGAGTTGTCAAATTGCTTTTCAGTATAGTTCCCTCCACCTCGGATTCCTTATTGCTAAGATACCTTCTTCATTATTGCCATTACAATGTATGTTAGTTAATTAATTAGTTTAATAAACCATTGATACAATATTAGTTATCTATTAATCATGTTGTCTCTTCTTCATAATTCCTAGTTTATTTATTTAACATATAATGCGATTCCTTAACCTCTAATTTCCGTTTGTATTTGGACTCCCAGTCTCAACAATTTGGTCAAGCATATATGCCAAAGAGAGGCTCCCACGTACCTACCAGGCTACCCATATCCCTATGAAAGAAAAGGGTTCTAATTGTTGGCCAGGAAGATCTATCCATGCTTTCGTTTCAACAGTTTCAATGCAGTATAATTATTATTAGGCTGAATCAAAGAGCACATCTCACCTAGATTAGTTTCTAAGGGGGCATTCTTTTTTTTTTGGATTTTGAGAGAGGAGAAAGTTGGTCAATGGTATTTTGGTTCCCATCGACTAAGAATCCTATGTTCCTTTTTTAGCTTTATATGGAGACCAGGGAAAATTTATTTTTCTAGGTACTAGTTACTCAAGAAAGTGATACCCATCTCCTAGATGGATAAATAACTTTTCTACATAGGGGAAAGTTGCCAACATTTGAATGGGACAAAAATACCCCTTTTAATAATGAATTTTTATGGCTAAAATGGTCATTGCGTTATTTACCTGGAAAATAAAAGAACATGGGTAACTTAACAAAAATAAACGGAGCCTAAAAGATGATTACTAATGACAAATAAGGGGATTTTCTGTTTGTATGATGCCAATCAATTCTTCTACTGGTTGTAGCGGAGACTTGAGATCAAATCCCACCTGCCCCTGGTTTTGGGGGGAGGGGTGCCAACCAGCTAATGACAAAGTCTTTTTTTTTTTTTTTTTTACCTTACGTGGACATGCAACTACTGTGCAGTAGTATCTGCAGTCAAAAACAAGTATGTTCTTTTTTATTGTAACATTTTTTGGCTCTATTCTGAGCATTTATTAATGAAAATGTCTTTTCAGGTTAAAGAAAAAGGAAAAAACAAGTTTGTTTTAAACTCTAATTCCTCTTATAAGTACAACTCACTATTCACTAAACACACTCCACTAATCTAAAAATTTATTTGAACACAATTTCATTAGGCATGTGAGGAAACAACCATCACAGTTACCCATAGAGATTAACTGAAATTACACCATGTTAGCCACTATAAGCATTAATGGGTTTTAGGCATCTGACCCCACTATAACAAGTATTGACCATCAGAAAATGACAAAGATTATGGTTTTGAAAATCTGTAGTAGGTAGTTTCAATGTTGGACTTGCATGGATTTATCACACAAGGACAAAGATAAGGACAAAAGCATACTAGTTTAAATTTAGGTAAGCCAAACTGTTTTTCAACTAAGTGGTTATTCTATACCATGAATGTTTTTGTTTTTATTTACTTTTGAGACTGTCACATCATGAAAGAAGTTGAAATACTTTCTTTAACTGTGCTTTTGCTTTGGGAAGCAGATATAAGTTGGTTTTGTATCAGAAAACACTTCGTAGGTGTTTGGTATTAATGCTGTTTTCTTAGGAAATGGCACCACATCAAAAATCCTTTGTTCTGGGAAACATTTTCTGTTTTCTTAGACCATAATGCCTTGAAAATCAAGAAAAGTGTGATCACAGAAAATGTCCTTTTTTGTATTTTCCCATTTTTTTTACAGTATGCTGACATGGCATTGAAAAATGTTTATGTGACAGTAACAACAATGGTACCAAATGGAATACCTGAGAAAACAGCATGCTTATGCAGCACTGTTTTCTGTAAAAATGTCTCATAAAACAGCATTAATTCCAAAAACCACTTTCATGTTTTTAAGCCATCAAATAATGGTTTTTAAAACAAATACAAATTCTGGAGTGAAATTATTATACAATTTATGAAGCATAATATTAAATCGGCATATGAAAACATGTTCTTCAAATCAGAAATTCTAGAATATATATATATATATATATATATATATATATATATATATATATATATATATCGTTTCTTATTGCATTTTGGAGACAAAACACTTTTATGTGTTTTAGTTTTGAGAACCATTGTTTTTTCAAAACCAACAGTTCTGATCTGCTTTTGAAACTCGCAGGTGGAACATGTGGTCCCTTACGGTGTATAAAACTATAAATGGCATATGTTGCATGGGTGAAACGTGGAACTGAAAGCCAGAGTTAATACATCTCCTCTACAAGTTTCTCTTGGGTGTAATCTGGTGGACGAAATTCTGTCTTCTCTATCCATATTCTATCTCCACAGGAACATATTTCTTATGGATTGCACTTCCATCCACGCAACAGGTAAGCCTACCAAGAAAAATGTGGTAAATATTTTCAGGAATTGAAAGTTGAAACCCATCTGTCTGTACAAAAATACATTTTTTATATACTAGAAGGTCATAGAGAAGGAAATATTCCATCTGTAAAAACCACCAAAAGGGGCGTTGAATTCCTCGTGTGTATGCTTATACATGGTAATAGATATACTAGGTAGTCTAGATTTCCTTTTTTCATTACGCAAAAAATGGAAAGATACGTTAGGTCGACTAACTTCAGTTAGTCACATTGCATCCGAGAAAATTACCACGTATTCCAATTAAAAATCTTACCTGATACGAGGGATGGCCCCCGGACAACCTCTACTCGTGCGTTGGGCCAACACACTTAAAGCTCCTAAGTTCAGATTATTAAAATATAAAAATAACATATGCTAAGTTTTTTTTTTTTTCTTTTATAAACAGATATAATACGAGATTTTTCTTATTAGGGATACCCAAGTGGCAACAAACAAATTTGATCTAAAATCTCCGCTACAAATTTTTCTTGTTAGCCGAAGATGTTATTCACACCCTACCCACAGGATAATACAGCCGCACATGGAAAATATCTGATAAGCGTTTGCAATGTCTTTGGTAGGAGGTGGGCAGTAGTAGATCCGGATTCCCTTTATCTTGTATCTAATAAAAGAAAAAAGAAAAGTTGTTCTTTGGGAGGGTTTAACTTGTATTCGGCTGTTGTGGTTTAGCTACTGGAGGTCATGAAGGGCCATCTAAATGGCTGTGCAATGATCAAATCTGGCCCTATGGTACCAAAGCCAAAAGCCAATGTAACTGGTGTGAGCAAACTGGTTGGACCCAAAGTCAATAAAAATATAAAACAGCTATCAAATTCAGCTAATTCTATCAAGGTTATTGTAACAGCCTAACAGGTGCATGCGAGTCTATTGGCGTAATATGAGGAACCAGAGCCAATTGAGCCAATGCGCCTCTAGGGATCTGATTTGCTTTAATATTCAGTTCCCTGCTTTGGTTTTATCGTTCAAGATAGCACCAGCAACGTCAAAAGTACAGTTGCAACTTGCAAAGATGAGGTTTATTATGTTTTGCTTCATTGGAACTCGATGCAAGATTTGTCCACACAAGTCCAAATTATTCACAACTCAGTTCACCTGAAAAGGTTTCCGACTTTCGGCGAGAAAGTTCGGTTAAAAACAGCAATGATGGGGGGGGGGAGTACTGACAACTCCGGCGAGCAATGTCCAGACTGAGCGTTGGGCCGCCGGGACTGTGGCAGACCCTGGCCCGGGTCTAATATCAGAGCGGAAATCATACTAGAGTCTGTCTCTGGTCTGGCCGTGTAAGAGGACCCCGCTTTGTATAATTGTATTTGTACCTGGTCATGTTTTGCACGAAACGGAACCCTCTTTCCTCTAGTTTCTGTCGGCCAGACACAGGGGGGGCTCCATGCATTGATCAATCAGTCTTGCACTATTGCTTTTTCCTCCTCTCCTAAGTCACCCGTCAATAATAATGATAAATAATAACAATCAAAAAATGATTAAATAAATGGATATAAATAAATATTCCTATACCTTTCCTTCCTCGTTGTCTCGGCTGTGCTGAAACGGAAAGAGAAGATCGGATTTTAGGAAAAGATCAAAATAAAGCTTAACAGGCAAGGGATTCTCTGCAAAAACTCTGCAACTTCAAACCCTGCCAAAACCTAATTTTTGGTATTTGCCTTTTCGACCCACCTTTTGATCATTTATTTACCTTTTTAGCCATTACATACAACTGGACAAGATTGAACCAGCCTCAGAACAGCTAATTTTTACCATATATAGAATATAGTAGTCTGATTCTCTTTTGCCGAGTTTCCATTTACAGAGATATTTTGAAATTATTAATATCATCTCTAGGATTCGGAAATAAAAAAAATAAAATAAAAGATTTTTCAAGCAGAGGAGATCAAGACGTACCAGATTATAAACTGAAGTCCAGGAATGAGAATTCCTTCAGCCTTCAATTCATCCAACCACGTCTTTACAGTAAATAAATAAATAAAGCAGCCAATTTTGATTCATCCCGAAAGCAGAATAATAACAATTAAAATCCAGAAAATGAGCAAGAAAGAAACAAAAACCTAAGAATCAATCACTAATAACAGGGAAGTCTATAAACCATTAAATCCTAACTAACCTAAGCTAAATGTTGCTGCAATTATTCAATTTCTCTATTTTTCTTCCTTGCTCTCTCTCTTTTTTTTTTTTTTTTTTTTTTTTTTTTTACCTCTGTAATGTGCTTTGATTCAACCTGCCAGGCTTGGGAAACAACTTTCGGATCGAGCAAGGGATGGAGGGCGAACCTCGCTTTCCTTCCTGAGAGGACTGCTAGGCGTCGACCTCAGGGCTCTCGGAGAGTCTAAGCTTCTGCGAAGAAGCTGTCTCATGGCGGAAATTAGATGCTCTGTAGGGTTCGAAGGTGGAGTTGATGATCTGAACTTCTTACAGAAGTTCATGTGTCGATTCAAGGCTTCTTCAGTACTAATCAGCCTCTCCGATCTGACAATCTCATCTTTGACAGCTTCTGCGCAGAGGCCGCAGATCCACCGTCCTTGATACCTCTCCCTTATTCTAGCTATGTAGGCCGGCGTGCATTCCTCTGTTAATCCGCAGCAATCGCATTTCGCAAACTCGACTTCACTCTGCCCGCCGATTTCAATTGTAGTCGGTTGAGATTCCGGATTGGTCATGGCCATCGAATCGCTTAGAACAGTAGCAGACATTGCCGTAAACCTAGAAATCGCAACTGGAAATCGTTAGAAGATCCCCCTTTATAGTTACCCCGAGAAATCAGACTTACAAAATTTTCGAGGACAAAAAAGGAAATAGATGCACAACAAGAAACCTAACAGAAGTCAAACTCCTTCTGTTTTGCACCGAACTTAGGAATGTTTTTCCTTGCGCAGGCTTCAAAAGCAGAAAAGGCTTCAATCAGAATTTACCGTTTTGAAGATATCTCCCGGTCCAAATTCCTTTTTTTTTAAGACCGTCTCCTGGTCGACCAGCTTCAATCGATTTGCCGACTCCTTGAATCCTTAAAACGTACAGAGACGCCGAGTCGAAGCGATCACACTCTTATGGTCTTCTTGCTATCTCTCCTTCTCCCACTCACCTTCTTCAACCTTTTCTCCGTCAAAAAGCACAAGTTCAGAAATTACAGACATTTCAAAAATTTCGATTAACAGATACTATCCCACAGTTTCCACTCTGTCTATGGAAATCGACTGAAACGAAACTTCGAAAGGTTGAATCCTTTGAACAAACACAAACCAGTCGATATCTCTCTCGCTCTATTTCTCCCGAGACCTGAGAAGTGAGAAGAGAAGCAGAGGAGGAAGAGATTTATTTTCCTTTTTGTAACGTAGGGGAGGCCCCAATGATTGGCGGTTCGGAGGCACTGGTGATTGAATCCACGTCAGAACTCTCCGCTGGCATTCAATGCTGGCCTCAGATAAATTGACCTTGCCAGCTGTCTCCATTATCATTTCTTGCGGGTCGTCTGAGCCAAATGGGTTGGATGGGAGCCCTCTCTTCCGCTTTCTACGGCCTCCATTAGCCAAAATCTTCCTGCCACCTGTGGTTTATCCTACGTGTACGTCACCTTTTCTCCGGTTTCCACATATTGAGAGGAACTGGCCATTGCCGGTTGCGGAGGACGGGTCTTTCAATTACCAAAACTGCCCTCGCTACAGGTTGCAATGCCAGTCCTCCGGTGCTCCGCTTTGGCTGGTACCTGTCATCAACGTAGGGCCAAGAGCGGAAACTCGGATAAGGTTTCTAGAGGAATCTCATAATCATGGGAGCAATGCAAGCAAAAGCAAAGAAGGAGATCATAATCCTCTCCTAAACTTCACCCTCCGATTTCCAAAAGACATACAGATAGACATAGACATGGTGTAACTTATAAAAGACAAATTATAAAACAAAATCGGACATATTCTTTCATTGGATGCCGCTTTAGTCCCTAAGCAAACAAAGAAATTCAAGAGTTGCATATTGTTCGATTACAAGCATTCATCGTCCCACTCAATATTTCCACTCTCTGCGTCCAAAGGATAATTTTGGCATTTCACTTGATGATATCAGGTCTTTTAGGGGATTAACCGATACTCATCCAAAAGGGACGCGAACTAGTACTTTCTGATTTGTATTTTGTAATAAAAAGTTATCATAAAACAATGAAATATGAAGGTTTAAAGTATTTACCGTAAGAAAGCTTTTTTAAAGCTGATGAGGGCGGATTTGGCCCTCTAATGACATCGTGATATATATCATTTTGGAACAACTGAATCACACATGGACACCACCTAAGTAATGATTTAGAGTCTTAGATCGCGGTTTCTCTTTGCCTCGACTTGGTGACCCGCCTTCAACGCCAACCTATCGACCTCAACCACAACTCAGGTCGGCTAAAAGCACCTTGTCACTGGCCGAAGTGACCTCAACGTGAGGGCGTGTCAACCTGACTGATGTCCCAGTGGCGACTTGCGAGACATGCTCGTCAACAAATTCGGCATGCATATCCCGACACCCCCATGTTTCTCAAAAGTTGGCCCACGTTTCGAGTGTTCCGGAGGATGGTCAACGTGCATGGCGGTTAGCTCCGGGGATTTCGGACTGGTTAGGCAACCTCTCGGAAATCTCAAATGCAGTGCGTGAAGCCCACACCAAACAATGCTTATATAAAGGCACAAACCCTAATGACACAAGGGAAAGACACGATTAAGTATATTCTAGCTCTCATACTTTCTGATTTTTTAGCTCACGATCTACTACAAGAGTACTAACTTAAGCATCGGAGCGACCTCGCCGGGTTAGCCACCCCGGGTCCTCTGACACCGTTTCCTTGCAGGTCTCTACGAAGAGCTACCCAGCTCGGCACCCGAGTAGCCTCCTAATTCAATCCAATCAGTTCGACATCCAAACCTTTATCTAGCAGAAATACTCCCGCTCGACCACTGAGTCATCGGACATCAAGAAGTAGCTAGAACAACAGGGTGCTTCTAAAAAATGCTTCATCAAAAGGGATGAAGGATAATGTTTCACTAAGCCGGCTTGCGAGCCTCACGAGCCAAGCTCTAGTATGTTTGAGCTTGGCTTGTTTAATAGTCAAGCCAATGAATTGAGCTTGAGCTCGGTTGAAACCGAGCCGAGTCGAGCTTTTCACGAGCTGAGCTCGAGTAACTCATGAAAAGCTTGGCTCGTTGCCACCCCTAAAGGAAAGGAAGGAAAAGGTAGCAAAATCTATACAAAATCAACCACAACCTTTAAAGAAATTATTAACAAATGGTAAAAAAATTAAACTTGGATGTGAATAGAGATGAAAAAAATTGGGTTCTGATAGCTTGCAAAATGAAGAGTATTATTTCATACAATAAGGGGGAAACCTAATTCCCTTTCCCTTCGTGGAAGCTGATATCAGCTAAAAGTCATAAAGTGGGGCATGCCAATGGGAAGAAGGGGAGATGTGATCACAGTCCACCTCAGATCATATAAAGTGAACATTGTTTTAATGGGCTAGCATTTGCTAGAAAAATTAAATGTTGATGATGAAATAGATAATGAGCTAGTTCATGTGGGAGGATATGGTGCCAACTAGCCACTTGCTAAGGTCTTTTATTAGTTGTAGCAGAGACTTGGGATTGAATTTTCACCTGAACTAGAGCACCATTGATAGGATTGGGTTAGCTGAACACGATAGCTGTTTAGCAGGCTGCTGAATCAATAATGAAGTTTCACGCCAGTAATAAAATTATGGACCTTACTGTAAAAGGTACAGGTCCCATGTATTTAAAATAGCCATCACATTCAGCCAAGGTTTGGGGAATGAACCACTCCCATTGTGTGGGTGTTTGAGCAGTTTCTTTAAGGTTATATTTGGTTTGAAGGAAAAGATAGGGAAAAGGACTGGAAAACTAATACAAGGGTTGTAAAAGTTTCTCTACCTTTCCCTACATTTTCCCTCAAACCAAATATAGCCTAAGGGCATCAAATCTAATCCTTTATGTGTATATACATTGGAGCCAGCAACATCTACAACATATTATCAAACAAGCACACGTGACAATGAATTACTTACTATATTTACCGATGGGTCTTTTGGGAATATTGCGATTTGCGATATGTGACAGTGTATCTCTTTCTAATTAAGGACTTTATTGCAACAATAGGATACAGAAGTAACGTTCAAACAAGCCGTGCATACTGGCTGGATGGTGGGTTATAATCTGTTGCGATGCTAAAAACTTAAAAGGTGCGTTTGGAAACGATGCAAATGAGTGTAAATTCCGGTTCAGGGTAAATTTGTATTTTGGTTTATTTTTGCATGTGTTTGATAATATTACATTTTTGCATTGATAAATGACAGATCAATGCATATTTACATTGATAATAAGATGTAAAAGTACATTAATAAAAAAATTCAAGTGGGCTTTTGATAAAAAAAATGCTTTATTGGAATTTGTGTTTGCATCTATTACAGCTAAAAGTCTGTATGATAAAAAGGTAAATTTGTCAATGCAGAACTAAATAATCCAACTTTGCAATTTATATGAACCGTTTTACACTCTACATATTTGCATCGTTTCCAAACACAACCTAAAACTAAGAAATCAAATGGCAAGTAAAGAATCAGGAAGTAAACGTAAGAGCAGCACAATGCATATAGAGATTTATGTGGTCCTATGTAGGGTTCAAAATATCGATACGCCCGATACACTGGTATGAACGTATCGGGCGAATCGATACTATTTTTTAGTTTTTTTTTTGAAACCAGTTCAGGGGGGGGGGGGCGATTTAGGTCTCCTCCATCCCCTGAACCGGTTAGACCCCCGATACACCCTCTATAGGGGCGTATCGGTGGGGTCTCGGAATGATACATATCGACCGATACGGGCTGGTACATGTTGATACTTTGAACCTTGGCCCTACGTCCATTAGTATTTTCCCCACTGCCTGCCTGCAATTCCAAGACTTGTTAGTCTAGATGACTTGCGATTCCCATAATTTTTTGTGGTTCCAAATGAACTGTGAAACCGGACAACTTGATATTCCAGATGACTAGCGATTCCCACCTGCCTGCAATTCTAGATAACTTGAGAATTGTTTGGTTGCCTAGCTTTTTTTGATATAAGTTTTAATTACCAAGGTCAGAAAATATGTTATTTTATGAACTTGAATGTAAATTTATAGCTAGATGTCAAGATATACAGGTATTCGACCATGTTTGAAAGAGTTTATGTTAAAAATAAGTGCTTATTCGAATAAGCATTTATTTACATTTGGCATCAAACTTTTTCAAGTGCTTATTTTAAATAATAAGAACTTATTTTATATTGGGTGTTTGGTGGTCTTTTTCTCCAATAATCACGTGTGACTCTTTTGTCCTTCATTTTCTTTCAACTTTTCAAAATATCCAATCCAAAGTGAATGAATAAAAGTAATTTGATAGAAGTGCTTTCATAAAAGTAAGTACTTTCGTAAAAGTACTTTTATAAAAGCTATTTTGTAAAAGGACTTTCATAAAAGTACTTTCGTAAAATTACTTTCATAAAAGTGCTTTTGTAAAAGTAACAATATTGAAAGGGTATAATTAGTATTCTTAATATTTGTTGAAGATAGTTCTGGGAGAAAAAATTTGAATAGGTGCTTATTGTATGAGTACTTAAAAAAATGTGGAAATTTGGGCTTAAAAAATAAGCCCTTATTTTTAAAATAAACACTTATTTCGGGCTTATTTTCCAAACACCAATAAATCCTTAATGGTGTGGTGCCAAAACACTCCCAAACGTGGCCTTCCTCCAGATTGGATGAGTTTTTTTTATTATTATTATTAAATGGAAATTAAAGAGACTTGCACAAATATCACAAATAAATCAATGTCATTAAAACTTAAAAGGCAAGAAAATCATACCTTATGTTTGTGATAAGAATTACAATGCAGTTGGTAAATAGGGTACCGGTACATAATTTATTTTCTTAACTTTATTCGTCAATAAGCATACTCTTCACATTTGCAATTTAGTCTGTAATTGGTTCCAATGCAAATAAATTCACTGGTGCAAAATTATGGCAGTGCAAATGATTTGAGTGTAAATTCTAACTTATAAATAAATTAAGACATAAAACAGAATAAAGTAACACTTAAAACAAAATTAAATAAAAAAAATTATTTTTTCATTTATACTCCCATGCATTTATATTAATGCAAATAAAATTGCACTGCAACCAAACACAGCCTTATTTTCTTTTTATATCTATTTCGTGTCATCATCACTAGTAAAAACAATTAATGTTTGAAAAAGCTCTTGATCAGATAACAATAACTCTCTCTCTC